ATAATAAAATGGACATTAGATTTGAATTTGGTTTATGACGAATGTGGATAAAAGGATTGGAATGGTTATTAAAAAAAAAGGATAAATGGGATAATTGGATTTATGAAAAGTGGAAATTTCTATTAATGAATTAGAATGAGCTAGATAGGCGAAATTCAAACTCAATGACTTGTGTAATTTCATTAAAAACATGTGTAAAAAAGTTTAAACCATAAATGATTGATTACTACTAGTAATCAATTATTTATTATTTATAACAGTCACGTTATACTCCAAAGTGAGTTGTTATAGAAACAGAATCCATTAAAAGATTTAAAGCAAAATTGATAACAGCCAAACAATTTTTATCATTAAAATCAAGTCGAATCGGATAAGTATTTAAGATTTAGCTGTAAATGTATATAGGCTTTGAAAATGTAACAAATACATATGGGAAATAGTAATACAAGAGCAAGAGGAAAAAACATTTCAAGAAATGGTACAAGGGTGAAAATAGTTTCTCCCCTAGATAATAGACAGCGTAGCCTATTCATGTAAGGATAGAAATGAATTCCCATGAAAGACCTCCTTTCTGTGTCATGATGTTCTCTGCTTTTTTTCCTCTTGAGAGTGTGAAGAATACATTCAACACAACAAGTCTTTGTGGTGCCGAATCAAGCATCCACTGATAATAAACAGAAATCTAGAAGATAAAAACAGCAGCTGTAACAAAAACAACTGATCAAGTTATGGAATGAGGAAATCTTTTCAGCCAATTCCATGCATTCCTTATACTTCATACAACAGCTGGGTCTAATTGTATAGTAAAAACACAAGTTCACAACAAACTAAATGAGAGACGCAATAAAATGGCTACACTGCAAAACCAGGAATCGAAGATGGATCGGCCACCCAACACCCTCTGAGATGAAGATCGTCTTCTCCAGTATGCTGAAAAGCAGGAACCTGATGTGAAAATCTACCAACATCTTCTCTTAATATTTCAATTATACCGGTCTTAGATCGCCGCACAATGGGAGCCTTGAAAATTGGCTGAGATCCGCTAAAACGCAACAGAATAACAACTTCTACACTCTTGTCACTATCTGCTAAGACTTCTACTATATGACATTCACTTCTGCCTCTATCCTGGTCTGAAGAAGTAAGTTCACAATTCTGGTCCTTGTATAGAGCCCAAATCTCGCCTTTTTTGGGGTAAATTTCATATATACTGTTCTCCATGGGTTCAACTTTTAGTTGATGAGAGAATGCTGAGGGAGAAAGAATTTGGGGTTTGGCTTTTTTGATTTTGAAGGAGCCACAGGATATTGCACGTTTGAAACCTTCTGGTGTCGAGCAGGGTTCAAGTTCGGATACATGCAACCTAAAATTAGATGAGGAGGATTCAATCCTCTTGATTTGAACATAAACAACAGGCATATTATCTCTATCACCGTATATTGCCCATATCTGACCACACTGGAACATCTCCCTAGATTTTTCCTTATTAAAGTCATAACTCGCTCCCACAACTCCAGATTCTTTTTTCAAGCTCGCGCGATCGCTTCCCACCGACTGAGAAAACACAGTTTCCTTAATATCATTGGTAGTGTTGGAATGATTATCAGCCAACTTGCTAGTGGCACATTCACCAGCGCCTCCTGCATCATTTTTCTTGCTTAAATCTCTAGGTGACCTTCGAACTGTCGATGTCTCCACGTGATAATTTCTCTTGGGTTTCTGTGGTGTCTTGAAATTCTTGTTGGTCTGGCTTGCAGCAGCTTCACTTCCCTCCGGTTGATTGTAGTCCTTGTGGCTAGTGTTCTTTTCGTGTTCTCTGACCATATGTTGACTAGTACTTGTATGACCATTACCCATATTTTCTGCGTTTGACCTTGGTGATTTTTTATGACCACCACTTTCTCGCAATTTTGCTTTGGGAATACTATCGTTAAACTTTGCCTGATCAACTTTACGCTTGGAGGATTCCTTGCAAGAACTGACTCCACTGTTTAACATTCCGTCCTCCATCACATCACCCGGATCGCCAACTTGAACCTGAAAAATACTCTTAGGCAGGCCAGCAGGGTCAAGTTCAAATGATCCTTTTGGAACATCTTCCCTTTCATCACCAGACATCATAAATGAAGGAACTCGGTGTGAAAACCTATACAACTCATTAGGTGGAACACAAAATAATCCAACTCCATTCTGCACAGTTTGCTGAAAGAGACAAACAAACCCTTTCATTTTGCTCAGATAAGTAACTTTAACACCATCTTTCTCATCAAAATCAGAAAGGACTTCCACAAATTCAAATTGATATTCTGCATTCTTTTCAGGTTTAGAACCCCATCCCATATCCCAATGTCTGAAAATTGCCCAAGTTTCTCCCTTCATGGGATATACCAGATAAGAACCTCTAGCACTCCCTTTTACGCAATGCACCATGTGAGAGAACATATCAGTACCTCTAGTTACCTGAGAACTTCCAAGTCTGTACTTACCGCACGCAATAGGCAAATCTGCTTCATGCCATTCAATCTCATCTTTGAGATCTGGATTTGGTTCCAGCCAAGTATATTCCAGTTTGAAAGGGGAGTGAACCTTCTTGATGCGAGCATAGAATCTTGGCATAGAATCAGTATCATCATAAATAGCCCAGTATTGGTCAGCAGCAAAACAATCCTTTATTCTAACCTTATCAAAATCACTAAATTCTGGATCAGGACATAATATAATATTGGGACTGGATGTCTCTTTTCTTTTCGAGTTCCTTAAAACTGTTTTTTCAGGTTGGCCATTTGTTTTGTTTTTCGCCTCTCCATTCTGACCAGCCACATCAGCGGTGAAACTAGTTGGACTTGTCTTATTGAAAAAACCACCATTCTCAAACTCATCATCTCTAGCAGTTTCTGTGTGTGAAGCGCGCTGCTTTTTCCTGGAAGATTTCTTAGAATGGACTCCTGTGTCAAGTCCAGAAGGATCAACACCATTTTCTTGAACATTGCTATCTTCCATGCCATTTCCATCAACTGAATCTGCTGATGCTGACTGCCTTGCTCTCTTACTTCCAACATTTGTTTGTGTTCGTGATGGCTTGGCCTTAGATGTAGCACGGTTGGAAGTTCCAGCAGCAGCCTTTGTCACACCAGCAGTACCATGGCCATCTTTACTCTTTCGAACCTTAGAAGAGGGCCCATTGTCATCTTTACTCTTTTGAACTTTACAAGAGGCCCCCTCTCCGGCCCCAGGTTTTGTCGTATATACAGGACGAAGGGGCACAAACATGTCCTCCGGTCCTTTACCATGAGGTTTTCCACCATTACTTTGTGATGCTTCTTTTGGTGGCACGTGGTTTGGAGTATCTTTATGTCTGTAAAATGATGATGTTTGTCCTGATGGTGCAACCGGCGACCCTATATCACGAGCTTTGAAAAGTTTAAGACATTGTCGACAATGCAAGGTGGCATTTATAATGTTTTTGTAGTACTCATACTTAGTATTACAATGTTGGCATGATGTCCAAAATGTCTCCTGCTTATTCAATTTCGAATTTTGAGTATGAAACTGTGAATGAAAACTATTATGGTGATGGGATGGAGCCTGAGGTGCTTTAATTCCAGCAAGGCGGCTAATCTTCATGTGATATAAAGAACGCTTTGCTGGGTCACTCAATATTCTGTTAGCTTCCACAATCAACTTGAAAGCGGCCTCTGCCCCAGCAGATTTATTTTTATCAGGATGAAGTAGCAGTGCAAGTTTTCTATACTGTTTCTTTATCGTTGCTTCTTCAGAAAATTTATCAGTTAGAAGAATTCCATACCAGTCCATATCAGATGTAGAGAGTTTGTTCTGAGAAGCACAGTGAACCTCACAAATAGTAATGATCTGAGTGATGTTCTGGGTATCAGGAAACAGTCGCCGAGCTTTCATAGCAAACTTCAGTGCCCCTGCAAAGTCACCAGTCTGCAATCTATTCTCAGCAATTTCTTTGGCTCTCAGAGCTTCATCCTTGTTGCACTCCATGTGTAAGATGAAATCAAAACTCAATTAATCTAGTTTCCCTCAATCATACAACACAGAGACGGGAAACTTCTGCCTTTCAGACACAGTGCAACATTTCCACCTGATTGACAAAGCCAAAAACACCCAATGAACCATTAAACAAGAATGTCATGAATGACTTGCATAAACAAAACAAAGTGAGTGTTAGCAACATCAGTTTTAGCTGAAACTTGGGAATCACAGATCATCCCGTACTTTTGATTTCAGCTTCAATTTTCAACTAAATTTTTTTATTTTAAATAAAGGTATCTAAACACAAATTGCATCAATTCAAAACTCACTAAAACCAATTTAACAAAACCATGATCATCAATAAATAAACCTGCAAAGGTATCTAAACATATATAAGTATGAAATCAAATCAACAACGATAATCTCACTAGCTTATAGCTTTTCTTGAGATGCAATTTCAAATAGCATTTGAGCATAGAGCTTATAAGCCAAAAAAAAAACATTTTTAACCTTTGTTCATTATTATAAAATAATAAAACAACTACCCACGTGTTTCTAGAAAAAAACCAACTACATGCGTTATCACTTGCCTATTATTCTCCGATTGTATGAGCATGCATATTTAACTACCCATGTGTTTCTAGAAAAAAAGCAACCGCATACATTATCACAATGCCTATTATTCTCCAATTGTATGAGCATGCATATTTGCTTTCAATTTTCAATGAATTTTATTATGGGAGCATCTTGGTTTCTATTGCCGTTTTGTCGTCATTCAACTATAACATTGAACTTAAAAAGGTTTAATTAAACAAAAAAATTCTCAATTGAATTCATATAGCACACACATTTACTATCTTAAATATGAAAAATAATCTGAACAAAAAATTCTCATTTTATATTTATCACCCGCAAACAGAACCTTAGTCTAAAGCACTTATAGGAGTGACAACAACTTTACCAAGCATGCAATAAAAACATGAGACAAATTGAAAAGAGAACAAAACCAAAAAAAAAAAAAAAACTTTTCTCCCCATACTGCAAATTAAAACCCACATTTTTCACAAAACTAGATCTAAACATGCAATAAATATAATAAACAAAAAATAAAATTGAACGAATCACACGAGAAGCCAGAACCCTAAAAGAAGATTTTTAGATTCAGATGCTGAACCTCAAGAAAACTTATTCGATGTTCATTTCAGCTCAAAAAGTAACGATAAAGAAAACTACTGCCACATGAATAATTGAAAACGGTAAAGCTCAGTGATTGATTAACATGGAAGTTAGGTCATAAACATAAACCCTAATTTTTCAGTTAATTTCAAATGTAAATAAATAAAAATTGAAACGGAAACAAGATTGAACAAGAACCCTAAAAACTCGATCTGAGAAATGAACAAGTACAGAAAGTGAGGAGTTCGGAAATGATGGAAGTTACCTGCAACGCGGCTGCGTGTATTGTATCTCCTTCACCTGCGAAAATTTTGGTACTTAGTGATTTTGTTGTTTGTTTATTTATTTATATTTATTTGCGTGATTTTGTACTAGTTTTTTTTTATTTTACCAAATGTGTATATATTTATATTTTTAATTAATTAATGGATTAGAAATGATGAAAAATAGGGGTGGGAATAGTTGTCATTAACATTTGATCATTGTAAGACATTTCAGTTTGATCGGTAGACAAAAATCTCGAATCTGCATTCTCTTCTGAAAACAATATAATTTAAATATCACTTGAACTCTTGCAATCAGCAGCACGTGAACTAACACTTCAAATATCTAAAACACCTCAAAGAAGCAGAAGTTTATTTCCCACTCGTTTCAATCATGTTGTGTTTCACACACGCACACTGCATACTAAGGAACTAACAACATTACATAACCCGGTTAGATGTGTTGGAAATATACCAAAGTCTATGATGAATTTCTATTAATCTTGATGAATATGATTTTTATCACCACACAATAACGATGAAAAGAAGAAAAAAAATTAAAGAAAAGAGAATTAGGGTTCATGCAGAGTTTCTCTCTATCTACAAACTGTGGAAAACTTTTGTATTCACTTGCAACTGCAAATGCTGTGAATTTTCAATGTGTTACAATAATAGAGGTTACACTCTATTTATAGTTTGAGAATTTCTTATGGCACCCTATATAGGGGGAAAATATCATATGTAAAACAAAAAATACCCCTCTAAAATGCATTTCAGAAACACACCTTTTTTTTTAAAAAACAAGGATGAAACCGAAAATGAAACTACGATTTGGAACCGGATATGCATTTGCGATTCCTGCACAGACAGTTTAGAACATATTTGTATACATGTGTTTAGTGCATAAATGCATAGTAAAATACGTGGTAAAATAGGATATCGATTAAATACGAAGTAATCACAAAATACATACAAAAGCTCATAAATATCATGTTCCAAAATATGATACGTAAAATATTTGTCAAAGTGTTATCCAAATAATCCAAAATATGAAAAACATAACAGTACTATAAACAGAATGGAACTAAAACTATCATACTACTGAGTATGGCGGATAATGAGTCGGCCCGTGATATTCTCCACATTCATTCGCTGTCGTCTGTAACATAAAGCCTCCCCAGCCTCTGTCATGATGATATCTAGAATACCTCTAACATCAGAGTCATCAGGAAACAACCCCCTATCAATACTTGTCTACGTGATATGCATGATACAACGACACATAAGCAACACATCAGTGGCATGATCAGCATGTGCATGCTCCTCCTATAAAATCTCCACGCGTGCTAGTCTATGTGGATTACCTGGAGCCTCTTATACTAGATATAGATGTGACATCCGGAAGAATCATAAGATATAATTATCCTCGTAGCTCCAATCTTTTGGTGCTATGGTACTCCGGGCCTCATCCGGCACGAGATGGTTAAGATAATCATCAAATATGTCATCCATATCCCTCTGTTTCACCATGGGGGGGGGGCACACTAAGAGGGGTGTATGGGAATGTGTTCCATGTATCTGAACTGTCGCATCACGCGCTCAGACAAATAAGTAGTCGTCTTGTGCGACCCGCGTGCCAACCACCCAGTGAACAACACAATGTCATCAAAGGGAACCATCTCACGGTGATCCTCGTATGCATGGAAGCATATATCCTCATAGGTTCGGCGATCTATATACACCATGAATGGCTCTTTCGCTTGGTTCCCTCGGAGGGGATCAAATAAAGTGGCATGTGGCAGGACCTCAGTATATATAGGCTCAACTGACTATCTGGATATGTGAGGGAAGTGTTGTAGGATCCAGGGTTGAAATGTTACCGTCATTAGTAAGTAACGACATCAAAGTAATTTATATAACAAGACAAAACTAATATAAGAATAAGAAATATTACTATCATAAGTGTGATGTTGTCGGTCATGCCATTTGTATTCCACTTAGCACCTTCGGACAACTTAGGGTACAAATATACCAAACAAGCCGCCCCCCAGTTCCACTCAGCAATCCGCTGAAAATCACTAAATATTCGCAGGTAGATGATATCAGTGTAAGTGGCACTAGTGTTCACAAAAATATGCGTGCCAACCAGGTATGGACTGAATGTGGTGTAGTTTATGAGTGGGATCTAAATGTCTCTCCTGGTCCAAATACTTGCGGTGAGGATGTATGTCTGCGAGAGGACGGAGGCAGAGATGGATGGACATGAGACTCTCGCCTGTTGGTCAACATAGTAGAAGTATCTGGTACAACTGGGCTAGGAGCCTGAAAAGATTGTGTCCTTTCTCTATGCACTGAAGCATGCTGTGAAAGTCTCCCGTGTCGCAATCTGGATTGTCTCTCAGCCATAATACATGTAGAATCAACGAATAAAGTATTAAAATAACACTCTTGTATACAAACATTGGGAAAAAAACTATTTGTTGCATAATCGAAAGTATACTTCCAGTTTTGGTCAAGAACAAAACCAGAAATACACTTTCAGTATGACCTGCAACTTAACAGGTGCATCAATGGCGAAGCTGGCACCCAATGGGGACCCAAAAAAATGCATTGATTGTTAAAAAGACATGGCTAACACTTTTACATTGACTTCAAACATTGTATGAACTAAAAAAACTACATTTTACTACCCTAAAACACAATTTGTATATAAAATAAATAAAAAAACTCCATAATGCTCAAAAACAACTTACAATGATTGATTATCCTTGATTGATTCTGATTATGCCTAATGTATTGCTTCTGTGTTATGATAAATTGATGGATTTTGAAACAATGAGTATTTTGAAATTTTGGGGTTTTGGGAAATATTTGGTTTGTTTCTGTTTGAAGCAAATGAGGAAGGGGAAGAGGTAGCGCGAGTATTTGTCAAAAATATAAACCGGAAATACACATATGATTCGGGAATCGGTGTTGTATTTTCGGTTTGTATCAACATGGTAGAGTGTGGCTTCTCAGAGTGATTTACTTGATTTCATTTAGAGTATAACCGGAAGTACAACATCGGTTTGGGAACCTGTTGTACCCCAAAATTTGCCCTCTCATTTATCAAGACTTTTCTCACAAGGCTTCTTTGACTCAAGACAAGATTAGGGTTTAGTCAGCTCAAGACATCTCATCTTGCACTGATAATCCAAAATTAGGGTTTAAGTTTGCACAAGGATTTTTTGACCACCAATGCTTCATATGACTTTCATACATCATTTTGGACCCCTAAGATTGCTCATGATAAGTTTCAAGCCTTGAACCACATTTTTGATCAGTCAATTGGATAGTTAACCTAAAAATCAACTATATTGGGGGAAAAGTCAACCATGGTCAATTTACAGCCAAACTTCATAATTTTTTATCCACATAAACATTTTAGACTCATATGTACCATTTGATCAAGTTTGGATCACAAATCCTCAAGAAATTTGATCAAATCATCAAAAGGGTAAAATGGTCAAAATTAGGGTTTTGACTGAGGAATGGCAATTTCTGATTTTTAACCTAGAAATTGACCAATTGAGTTCAAGAATGATTTCAAGGATTAAATGGCATCATCTTAACTCAATTACATGGTTCAAAACATCTCAAGTTCATTAGATTGACAGATGAAATTTGCAGTCAACTGATCAAAAGTCAACTGTACACTGAAAAGTCAAACTTTGACTTTTTGGTCAAAATCAAGTACCAAGGGTCATAATTCATCAAGATATATCAAAATGTGAAACTTGTTCACCAAGAAAACCAAATTTGAAAATTAGGGTTTTGAATTTGAAAATTTTCATAACTTAGAATTTTTCTAAGTATAAAAAATTTCTTATTTTTTCTCAACTTTGCACCACTTTTTCACCATGATGCATTTTGATTCAAGGAAAGTCCCCAACATAAAAGTTGTATACCTATATGAAATATACAACTTTGCTTCACAAACTTTTCTCTAAAGATGCTTGGATCTCAAGTTATGAATTTGTGAATACATGGTCATGAACTTCTTAACTTAGTGAATTTTTGCCTTAATTTAGGCAGGTTTTGGACCCAACTTCATGGTAAGCTTTCACCTAGTTCCAAGAGGTATCTCAAAATGCATTTCAAATATGGATTATAGAGCACATTACAAGCTTTCCAAAATGTCCAAGAACTCTCCAATATCATTTTTGAGTAAAGAGAATCAAAGAGAGGAAGTTGGCATTTTCTCACTTTTTGTTCAAGCCATTTTCATGAAGAACCAAATTGCAAACCAATCCTATGCTGGCTATTTCATGCTTTACAGGTCCTAAACTTTCTACACACTCCTTAATTAAATGCATACTCAGTTGATAAAGCC